AAACAAGATCGCAATTGATGGAAGATGTTGAGAGACTCTTATTGGTGTGGAATAAATGAAAAACAGATAGCAGGAGATAGGTCTCTCAAGCGATCATATGTGAAAAGGTAGGAAGTTGCATGAGGATTTAATTAAAAAAATGCCTGCAACTAGTGATGATGTGAGTGAATTTAAGGCCAGAAAAGGGTTTGGTTGAGAGTTTTAAAGAAGCGTAGTGGCATCCTTTAGTGTGATAAGGCATGGTGAGGCTGCCAGTTCGGACCACAAAGCGGCTGAAAAATATGTGCAGGAATTCAAGGGTACATAGAAACTGAAGGACTGAAACCTGAACAAGTGTTTAATTGTGATGAAAAGGCCTGTTCTGGAAGAAAATGCCAAGCAGGACCTACAATTACTCAGGAGGAAAGGCACTCCCAGGACATAACCCTATGAAAGACAGGCTTACTTTGTTGATGTGTCCCAAATGCTACTGGTGATTGCAAAGTGAAGCCTTTATTAGTGTATCACTCTGAAACTCCCAGAGCGTTCAGGCAAAAGAATGTCCTCAAGGATAATTTGTGTGTGCTGTGGAGGGCAAACAGTAAGGCATGGGTCACTAGGAATTTTTCTATAACTGGTTACACCATGCATTTGCCCCCCAAAGTGAAAAAATTTCCTAACTGAAAAGAAATTAGAACTTAAGTGCCTCCTGGTGTTAGACAATGCCCCTGGTCATCCACAGACGTGGCAGAGCGACTTTATGGGGACATGAGCTTCTTAAGGTGAAGTTTTTGCCCCCTAATACCACTCCCCTCCTGCAGCCCATGGACCCGCAGGTTATTTCCAACTTCAAGAAAAATGTACACAAAAGCTCTGTTTGAAAGGTGCTTTTAATGACCTCAGAAACTCAACTGACTCTAAAAAGGTTTTTGGGGAGATCACTTTATATCCTCAATTGTGTAAACCTTATAGGTAAGGCTTGGGAGGAAGTGACAAAGAGGACCCTTTAACTTGCTTGGAAGAAAACTGTGGCCAGAATGTGTAGACAAAAGGGATTTTGAGGGTTTGAGGCTAACCTGAGAATCCTGTGCCAGTTGAGGAATCCATTGTGGCATTGGGAAAGTCCTTGGGGTTGGAGGTTAGTGGGGAGGATGTGGAAGAGTTGGTGGAGGAGGCAATGAAGAACTAACCACTGATGAGCTGCTAGATCAACTTCAAGAGCAAGAGGCCACACCTGAGGGAAATTGCTTCGGAGGAGGGGAGAGAGAAATTTAAAGAAGTTGCCTACTTCAAAGATTAAGGAAATCTGTGCAAAATGGCTTGAAGTGCAAACCTTCATGGATGAAAAATCACCCCCACAAGCTATTGCAAGCCGTGCTGGTGATTATTACATGACAATGTTGTGAAAAAACTTTAGGCAAGTCATAAAGGAACGAGAGGTACAGGGCCACTATGGACAGATATCTTGTGCGAAAGAAGTCAGTGGACTCTGAAGCTGGCCCCAGTGGCATTAAAAAAAGAAGGGAAGTAACCCAGAAAAGGACTTACTACCTCAAGTCCTTTTGGAAGGGGATTCCCCTTCTAAACACTAAACACTCTCTCCCCTCCTCCCATCCATCAATCATCACCAGATCTTCAATAAAAGTAAGTGTCATTTAATTGTGCATGCCTTTTTCAGTTTGTGTGTATTAAAATTAACATTTCATGTGGTAAAAAAAATTTTTTTTCATACTTTTGGGCGTCTTGCACGGATTAATTTTATTTCCATTATTTCTTATGGGGAAAATTCATTCGCATAACGATTATTTCGCATAACGATGAGCCCTCTTGCACGGATTAAAATCGTTAACCGGGGGTCCACTGTAGTATGCTCCTCGCTTAACAACCAATTTGCTTACCGACCTACTCTTAGGAAACAGAACCCTGTTAAGTGAGGAAAGGCTGTAGTTACATTGGTTCAATGGTCTGTACTTTATCGAGTGACTGAACAGTGATGGTGAAATCAAAGCATGATACTTTAGTTAATGGATATGACATGCCAAATTTTTGGAAAAAAAAAAAAAAAAAAAAAAATTCTTATGAAATGATAAGAGAATCTTTTCCCGATGGTAATGAAACCAAAAGTACAAAATTTGGTCGAAAACTCACAGAATTACGCTCCCGCGAAGTTAGCGGTCTCGGCGACATATACGCATCGGCGATTTTGCCAACTTTGAGCCCTGTTTTTGTCCAAATCCGTTGTTCTAGTTGACCAAACTCATAGCTATTTCTTTAAAACTCCATTTTTTCTATCAGTTGAGTATAAGAAACCGCCCATTTACCGATTTGAACTACCCAATAAAGTGGTCAGAAATTGGCAATTTAGTTTAGCCAATTTCACGCAAATTAATAAAGATGCCAATTTCAAAATAGGGTTCAGAATAAACAATGTAGACATTCTTGGCACTAAAATAACATATCCTCTGTTCATTAGTCACATCTCTAGGCCCCTCTTATATTACTATTGCTTTCTATTTTGATTTTTTATTCATACAAAAAATACAAAATTTACTGTTATGCAGACTACTGCATTATTGTAAAAATGGTATAAATAATATCAGTACACTAGAGAAAGAATATCAGACTCCCCAGTTGATGTGTATTGGATGTGTGGTGTGATTTGCTTACTCCTGAACACTGGTAAAAATTGAACACTTCCGCTACTTTGAGCTCAATTTCAAGGTCGTTTTCATCGTGAAACTAATCAAAATCATCTCTAGTTCTGTAATATGTTTTCCATTTTATCACACGAAACCATGAAAATGAGAATACAATGATAAATACTATACGAAAATACACCTCAAAGTCGGCGCTTTAATCCAAACAAAACGGTCAGTTTTTTTTTCTCATTATGCACTGCGTACTGTAGGATTTTTTTTTATGTGGTGCACACTGACCACACAGACCCATTCTCTCACATGTGGGCCTACCAGCTTTCTCCTGCTTGATTTGAAGCTGCTAGAATTTATGCGTATTAATACGTCCGAAACACTGGCTCGTAAGACTTACGTATAGGACCAAAACAGTCAATGGGTTAATCTCCAGACTTCATTCGAGAAATAACCAGTTCATGACCAGTGATACTGAAACTTTTTTTATGAAGATCAATTTTACAGGCTAAGAACTATTATCATACCCCAGTTCATTTCAAATTCTTCTAATCATGGGGGAGCGTTAAACTCATAGGGATTATATCGCAACTACTCAAACCCACACTATTTGCAGATGACACTACATACGTCTTCTCTCACCCGAGCCCAGTCATGCTAGCCAATACTGTGAATACCGAATTACAGAAAATATCTACCTGGATGAGGACTAACAAACTAACTCTAAACATTGACAAAACCTACTTCATTCAGTTTGGTAACAGAGCTACAGATGTCCCTCTTAACATAACGATAAACGGATCACCTATCACAAAGCTAACAGAGGGAAAATTCTTAGGAATCCACCTTGATAATAGACTCAAATTTCAAACACACATACAACGAATTTCCAAGAAAATTTCCAAGATCGTAGGCATACTATCGAAGATACGGTACTATGTTCCACAGCCAGCCCTCCTGGCCCTATATCACTCATTTATTTACCCCTATTTCACCTATGGAATCTGTGCATGGGGCTCTACAACAATAAACCATCTCAGACCACTAATTACCCAACAAAAGGCTGCAGTCAGAATGATAACAAATTCCCACTACAGGCAGCATACTCCACCAATATTCAAAACTCTAAACCTACTCACCATACAAAACATCCATACTTATTACTGCACCTATTACATACATAGAACACTTAACTCTGATATTAACCCTCCCCTCAAACGTCTCCTTGCCAACCTCAACAGAATACACGACCATAACACAAGGCACAGATCACTCTTTGATGTTCCTCGTGTCCATCTCACACTATGCAAAAACTCAATGCACATAAAAGGCCCTAAAATCTGGAATTCATTACCTGTGAATATAAAAGAAACACAGTCTGTTTATAAATTCTTAGTTAGGAGGCCTGGTCACAGACCGGGCCGCGGGGGCGTTGACCCCCGAAACTCTCTCCAGGTAAACTCTCCAGGTCTTCTCAAAAATCACTTACTCACCCACAACTAAATAAATACAGTGGACCCCCGGTTAACGATATTTTTTCACTCCAGAAGTATGTTCAGGTGCCAGTACTGACCGAATTTGTTCCCATAAGGAATATTGTGAAGTTTACCTGGAGTTTACCTGGAGAGAGTTCCGGGGGTCAACGCCCCCGCGGCCTGGTCTGTGACCAGGCCCATTTCAGGCCCAGTCCATTTCAGACCCCTAAACATACACGTACGAACGCACTTACATAAATACACTTACATAATTGGTCGCATTCGGAGGTGATCGTTATGCGGGGGTCCACTGTATTGAATAATTGTATCTCATAAATTGTATCTCACAAATGTTTCTCAGAATTGTATCTCATAAATGTTTAACCTATGACCCAATCAAACTTTGTTATTTTTCATTACATTACCTAACTGAATACTCCATTCTACTGAATGCACAGCAACACAGTAAATGACCATATGACCTGTCTTTGTAATACTCATTTGTGCTTAATTGTAATCTGTTTACAATAATGTTTTACCATTGAATACATCATTGCTTAGTTAATCTTAAGTTAACTTTAAGCCTGCCCATAATGCTCTGCATGCAAGGGGCTTTGGCATGTTACACTTAATTACTGTATTCCTTTGTACTTCTCGGTATCATGTTCAAATAAATAAATAAATAAATACAGTGCAGGGGGGGGGATGGCAGGTATTCAGGCTCAACTCAGGGAACTGGAGCACAGATCCAATTCCTTGGATCAAGAGCCCCTCACCAGCATCAAGGAACCTCCCCTGAGGGGAGTTCATTTCAAAGCCCAGCCCTATCTCTGAAGCAAGCAATATGAAGGAATAACTCTGAAAATAAGCTCCAACTTACTTGTAGTACTGTACTTACATCATTTCCAAGCTCCTCAGCATTAATTGCTGCTCCTCCACTTTTACCAGCACCCACCACCACCACCAGCAGTAGCCACATCCCCAAAGATACCCTGGAAGAAAAAATGCATAAAATTTAATCTGTAACTTAGAATACAGTGGAACCTCAGTACTCGTACTTAATTCGTTCCAGAAGGCTGTTTGAGTGCCGATTTGTTTGAGTACCGAACAAATTTTTCCTAACCAATTTTCTTTTTTGTTAACTGCTATCACTAATCTTCTTAGATCCCATGGTAACTTATTTATACAATATAAAAAAAAATGAAGAACCACGAAATAGTTTACAGCAAAGTTGTGACAGGTTGTATCTGTTTGCTCGAGCGCCAAGCAAACAGTCAACTACCGAGTGATTCTTTTTACCAAACAAAGCGTTCGAATACCAAATTGCACGAATACTGAGGTTCCACTGTAAATAGCAGGACAAATAAAAGGATGAAAACAGCACCAGTAAATTCTTTCATTTATTACTCTTTACCTGAAGGCGATAACAGAAATTTACCTGAAACAATCATGACAATGGCTCTATATCCTTTTTTTTGACCCTGCTAGTTTTCAAAGTTAGCCACTAATACTACCGGTATATACTTGAATGTAGGTAAATGTTTAGACAAAATTCTTAAATGTAGGGGGGTGGTTGACCTCTTCATGGGCAAAACATTGAAGAGATTGAAATTGTTACATATTGAGGGTGAACCTGACTAGATTCTTATTCTGCCGTATCGGGCAAAACCACACTCACTAACAGTATTCCACCTTAACTTTTTTTTTTTAATTATTATTACACACCGGCTGTTTCCCACCACTCGCTCCATCACTGTCTTGCCAGAGGCACGCTTACACTACAGTTATAAAACTGCAACATTAACACCCCTCCTTCTGAGTGTAGACACTGTACTTTCCATCTCCAGGACTCAAGTCCAGCCTGCCAGTTTCCCTGAATCCCTTCATAAATGTTACCTTGCTCACACTCCAACAGTGCACCAAGTGCTGTTAGAGTGTCTTCATTCGCTCCCATCTAACATGCTCATGCATGCTTGCTGGAAATCCAAGTCCCTCTCACACAAAACCTGCTTTACCCCCTCCCTCCAACCTTTCCTAGGCCGACCCCTACCCTGCCTTCCCTCCACTAAAGGTTTATACACAAAGTCATTCTATTTTGTTCCATCCTCTCTACATGCCTGAACCACCTCAACAACCCCGCCTCAGTCCCCTGGATAATAGTTTTGGTAACCCCGCACCTCCTCCTAATTTCCAAACTACGAATTCTCTGCGTTATATTCACACCAAAACATTGCTCTAAGACATGACATCTCCACTGCCTCCAGCCTTCTCCTTGTTGCAACATTCACCACTCAAGTTTCACACCCATATAAAGAGCATTAGTATAACTATATTCTCATAGTCAACTCTTTGCTTCCATGGACAGTTCTTTGCCTCCACAGACTCCTAAGTACACCACTCACCTTTTTCCCCCTTGTCAATTCTATGATTCACCTCATCTTTCATAGACCCATCTGCTGACACGTCCACTCCTAAGTATCTGAATAAATTCACCTCCTCCATATGTTCTCCCTCCAATCTGATATCCAAAGTAGCTTGTATGTAGTAAAACATTAATAGGCACAAAAGAAAGCTACTAATATGCAATGCATTTCAGGCAAACTAATCCTAATCTTAACTATTAAATTTTCTTTGAGATTTGGACACAGACTATTAAGTAGGATTTCTTATGCAGTTAACTAGTCGTGTTTACAATAGGAAAGGTAGCTAATGAACAAATAGTACAATTTCAAAAGTAACTTATTATTCAAACTGATTCAATAATCTTCAGTTTTGTAGAGTGACTAAATAGAGATAGCAAAGGTACAGGAAGTTACTTAGTTACAATAGAAATACAATGGGACAAGATGTGTTAGCAATTTTCTATGGAAGATGAAGGAAGGCTGGAAGAACAAGGACAGAATTGAACAAACTGGTTTTGTTTGACTTAGCATACTTCTGTTTCAATTACATTAGGGGGACGAAATGACTTTATCAACAGACCTGAATTGATTGGCAGATAGGGTGCCTTTTGATGCTTCAAGCAATGAATTCCAAATGCAAATCTTAGGGCCTCTTATGTGCCAAGAGTTCTTGCATAGGTCAAGTTGGACATGGGGAATGTCAAAGAGGGTTTAGCGTCTTGTGTTATGCCTATGTGTTCAGTTGCGGCAATCAAGGAAAAGTTTCAGAGAAGGGTTTATACTGGAATTTAATTTAATTTAATTCAGTCCCATCTGGGGAGACCTGTGAGGTCAGGAGACTAGAATCTGGTTGCTGTACTAATGGGAGAGGATTGTTAAATGAGAATGGGCAGATCCTATTTTTTTTTGGTCATTATTCAATATTACATTACTTTGCTTTGTTGTGGGATGTGATGGTGAGGTGTGGTCTTGACCTTTATATGCCTTCCTTTGATGTATTGTTTTTATAGTTCTTTGATAATGAGAGGTCAAGAAAGCACTTGGAGTTTCACTTATTCTTTCACAGTGGTTGTTTTGCATATTCTGAAATCACCTGTTTACTGTGATCTTATTGCATTACATTACATGAGTATCCAGTGTAGCTTTAATTTCAGGGGTCTGGACAGTGAAAGAATTAAGAGCCTAGAACCTGCCATCAAATTCACTGTAGAAAAGATATCCATCCATTTGCAATTTTCTGAAGTTTCTCAATACAGGAGGGGATAAATTCTTGTTCAAAATTAGAATTTTACTTACTTTTTAAAGTAAAGTTCAGTGACTGAATCTTGATTTTTTTGTAATGGACTGTTGCTTTCATTTCATTTCAACAATTTACAATGAGACTCAAGTCAGGTCTGTTTCCTAGCCACTGTATAACACTGATATTGTTCCCTTTGAACCATTTCTTGACCTGGTTTTGCATGGCACCAGGCACTGTCTTGCATAAAGTGTGGTGCCATGAATCTTGAGGAATGTGAGGAAACGTTCCTTAAGTACTTCTACGGTATGTACAGACTCTGCAAATTATGTTGGGCCAAATGGACCCAAAAAAATCACTTGTGAAGCTTGTACCCATCCTATATTTTAAAGTGACGACTTCAAGCCTCATTGTTGGTTACATTACCCCACTTTAACATCCTTCACCTCTCTGTGTATTATATATAACTGAAGCCACTCATGATAACTCCTTTATTAAATGTCATAGTCAATACATATGTGCCTCTTTCAACAACTCATCAATGGATCATCTTTCTAAATCATGTAGGTTATCGAGGGCAGAGTAGCAGAAGCTCAATCCTCTGTCCAGTAATTAGAAGACTCTCCTCACTTAGTTTACAGACAACTCAGACTAACGACTGGCTATCTGAAGTATGCATACCTAAATAATGTATATTAGAGCCGAGTTTCTCTATTCTGTTAATTACAATATACAGTACACTACTGTATAAACATTTAAAAATATACCAGAAATGTTATAAATGATGCAAAGGTGACATTAAAACAATATCAAAGATGGTCGACACAATCCCACTACCATTATAGTATGCTCCTCGCTTAGCGACAAATTCGTTTACCGCCGTGGTCTTGGGATCGGACCTCCATCATTCAGTGAGGAGAGGTAACTCGTCAATGGAGGCTAGATCAGTGGGGTAAGGAAACAGCACGATTCATAAAGTGTACAGAGTGAGTAATTATGACAATGGAAGATGAATAAATAAAGGGGCCAATACTTAATTAATAAGAGATCAAGAACCTGCACGAGCGTTAATCCTCAATTATTCAATACAATATGTGACAAAATAGAGGGGTAAGGATTTCTTTTTTTTTTTCAAATCTACTTTTAGATTTTTTTTTTTCCTGATTTTGGCCTATCTCATTTCTCTTGTAGTGAAGGCAAGTTTCACACTTAGCTAATAAATGTGTATACTGCAGAGCACTGTTTATTATAACAAAGGACAAGTGCTGAAAAACGCACGAAAAATTACAATGTTATTTTCTGCCGAGTTCAACCAAATACTTCAACTACTAAATGTTCTCCATTTTAAATTGATAGAGATTTTATAAATTATTGTTTTACCTTCCTGCAATGGTGACAAGTTGTGAGTTGTATTAAGTAAAATATATGTAAGTGAAGAAAAAGTAAAAGTCTTACCAGTTCTGCAAAAATCTCTTCTTGGGTAGGCATCCTTCTGTTCTCAGGTGTCTGGAAAAAATACATCCTATTAATTTATACCATTTAGCTTACAGAACAAGGTAAGACTTAGTAAATGTTTTTATCAATATTATTAGTCACTTTAGGAAAAAACTGTCCTGGTCATATGTGAATCATATATGTACTAGTATGTATGAGAGTATAGTTATACCAATGGGTGTGAAACTTGGGTGGTGAATGTTGTAACAAGGAGAAGGCTGGAGGCAGTGGAGATGTCATGTTTTAGAGCAATGTGTGGTGTAAATATAATGCAGAGAATCCGTAGTATGGAGATTAGGAGGTGGTGTTGGAATACCAAAACTATTATCCAGAGGGCTGAGGAGGGGTTATTGAAATGGTTTGGACATGTAGAGAGGATGGAATGAAATAGAATGATTTCAAGAGTGTGTAAATCTGTAGTGGAGGGAAGGCAGGGTAGGGGTTGGCCTAGGAAAGGCTGGAAGGAAGGGGTAAAGGAGGTTTTGTGTGCGAGGGGCTTGGACTTCCAGCAAGCGTGTGTGAGCGTGTTAGATAGGAACAAATGGAGACAAATGGTTTTTAGGACTTTACATGCTGTTGGGGTGTAAGCAAGGTAACATTTACGAAGGGATTCAGGGAAACTGGCAGGTTGGACTTGATTCCTGGAGATGGGAACTACATTGCCAGCACTCTGAAGCAGGGGTGTAAATGTTGCAGTTTTATAACTGTAGTGTAAATATGCCTCTGGCAAGACAGTAATGGAGTGAATGATGATGGAAGTTTCTCTTTTTCGGGTCACTCTGCCTTGGTGGGAAACGGCCAACGTGTTAATAAAAAATAATAAAATACATACTAGTATCATCCTTCATAAGTACCATGAATAAAATCTTCCTTCATGATACATTAAATAATGTCAGAAAGTGACACAAACATCCAAGTTAAGATTTGCTCAGAGTTTTAACCCAGAGGGTTAGCCACACAGGATAACCCAAGAAAGTCAGTGCATCATCAGGGACCATGTCTTATTTCCATTGGGGTCCTTCAATCATGTCCCCCTGAACAAATCTTATCTTAACATGCTGAAAATATCTAACCAAGACAGGGTTAGCAGCAATGGATTCAAGTTGGAGAAAATTAGATTAATTAGGTAAACTGAATGCTGCATCAAATACTTTAACAAAGGCTCCAATAAGTTAAAAACTTACTACAGTAATAAATGCATCACCCTGAACAGTTGCCAATTAGTAGGGGTGTCTTATGACTGTGTGCGAAAAGAAAGTTAAACCCAATTAAAAGCACCAGGCCAAATAACATCCAAGCCAAATTCCTGAAAGATGGTGCTTCTGAATTGCCAATCCCCACTGCATACATAATAAATTTGTCCATAGCCATCAATACCATCCAAGAAGGGTTAAAGGAAGCCAGAGTTACTCCTATCTTCAAGAAAGACAGTAGGTCCAACATCATCAACTATAGGCCTGTTAGTATACTCAGTGTGATGTTCAAAATTCCAGAGAAAGCAGTGTACTGTCAGGTAGTTAAGTATCTTAATGACAATATTTTCCATAGTTACCAATAAGGTTTCAGATCTTACTCGACCAACGCCTCCCTCATTAATCTGATGGACTACCCGAGAACTCAAATGTCATCAGGGAATCTCATAGGTATAGTAACCCTAGACTTGTCAAAGGCATTCAATACAGTTAACCATAATATGTTATGTAAGAAACTACAAGCTATCAACATAGGCTCTGTAGACTGGTTCAAAACCTACCTGAGCAACAGGAAACAAATTGTCAAGATCAACAATACAGAATTAGAACCCCTGCCAATAGCATGTGGGGTTTCCCAAGGTAGTATTCTGGGACCTTTACTATTTCGAGGCTATGTAAATGACATGCCCATTATTGTCAAGTGTAAACTTCTGTAGTACACAAACAGTGTGCTGTTAGTCTCAGGTAAAGACCCACAAGATACAGTTAATAAAATATCACTAGAACTAGAGTCGTACAGTAAGTGATTAGTAGACTACTATTGCAACACCTCAGGAAAACAGAAGCCATACTCTTTGGTGCAAAAAAGTAAACTGAAAAAGGTAAAAATTTTAATGTCCAGTGTAATGGGGAACCCAACCTTTCACTATCTTCAGTGAAATATATGTGAATTCCTCTTGACCTAAGCATGCCAGAAGAATTGATAAAGAACAATATAATAAAAACAAATGTCAGGCTAAATTCCCTCTGTAGACAGGCACAATGTCTACCTACTGAGGCTCACAGGACCCTATGTCTAGCTCTTATACAATGTCATATAGATTCTTGTTCTTCATGGTACTCTGCCTTAACAAACCCCCCAAAAAAAAAATTGAGACTACAAATCACCTAGAACAAAATGGTGAGATTCATCCTGGACCAGAGTCCAAGAGAGCATATAGGCCAGGATGAATTAACCTTTCCAGGGTCTGTGCTGTAGATCTATGGCTTTATGTTCAGGGTCCAAACTGTAGATCTATGCCAAAATTCTAGCGGCGTCAAATTTAGTGCAAAAAGGCTGGTAGGCCTACATGTGAGAGAACGGGTCTGAGCAGTGTGTGCGCGCCTTAAACAAAAATTCTAGGCGCCCGCATAGCATTGTGGGAACGCCGGCTCAGTTACCCTTGTTCACCATGCCTCATCACAAGGCAGCTCTCACTCCAAGGAAAATTGGGACTCCCCTCTTCCTGTCTGATAGTTCTGACTCTGATGGAAGTGGAAATGAAGACAAATTCTTGGGCTTTGATCAGTTAGTGACCGAAAGGAATGACCAGGATATCGATAATAGTGCAGAAAACCCTGACGATCCTCAACCCTCTACCTCTGGTGTAGGCACTCCTCAGTCACGGTCAGTTGTACCTCATCACAAGAGAAAACTATTACTTTTGCATGGCCAGGCCTCTGACTTCAGTAATAATGATAGTGATGTGGATTGTGATTTTATTGCTCTTGATGATCATTCGAGTAGTGATAGTGAGGAAACATATTCACAAGTGAAGCGTCAGTATATGCACCGCCGCATGCGCTCGGGAAGTGTTCCCTATGCAGCGTCCAGGAGCCGGAGTACATCCCGTGGCCCTACACCAGGAACAGACAGTGAAAGTGAGGATGATGTGGCTACACTTGGCATGGATAGACCACAGGCAATGGTAAGTGGTGGTATTGGTGGTGATGGTAGTGCCACCGCCATGCACGACTCACCAGCCCAGGCTGGGACCCACGCTGCTGACTCCTCAGCTCGAGGACAAAGCGGGGCGTCAGCCACGAGCCCACCACAACCACAACTACCAGCACAACCAGCCTACGATGTCCAGTATCCACCAGCAAACCGTATGTGGGATTGGCAGCAAAATCTCAATTTTGTTCCCAAGCCCCACCAGTTTGATGACTCTCAAAGTGGAATTCTACCTACTTGTCCCCTTGGAACCACTCCCAATGAACTGGAATTCTTTGAATTATTCTTTGAACAGCCCTTGATGGAAACTATTGTCAGGGAAAGTAACAAGTATTTTGAGTACACCATGGCAAATACGATGATATCACCACAGTCAAGACTACACCAGTGGAAAGAGACAACTGTTGCAGAAATGCATTTGCTTTTTGCAACAATAATGTTTATGCCTCATGTCTATAAGCATAATATAAAAGCACACTGGTCCACAGATCAGCTAATTTCTACCCCAGTCTTCAGTGAAATCATCCCAGTGAACAGGTTTATCTTACTGTTACGTATGTTGCACTTCTCTGACAAAACCAGGCCTGACAGAAGTGACAGGTTATACAAGATTAGAAATGTTTTTATGTATCTCAAACAAAAATTCAACATGTACTTTTATCCATTCACGAATCTTGTACTTGACGAATCTTTTGATTTTGTTCAAAGGTAGATTGTCATTCAAAAAGTATATACCGAGCAAGAGGAAACACTTTGGTATAAAACTGTTTGTACTCTGTGACTGTGACAGTGGCCTGGTATTGGATATTGTTGTATACACGGGAAGTAAAACATTGAAAGATACCAGGATGTTATTGGGTATCTCAGGTGACGTAGTGAGAAGCATGATGGCACCTTATCTTGGTAAGGGGCATACATTACATACCGATAACTGGTACACAAGCCCTTTACTCAGTGATTTCTTGCGAGTGAACAAGACAGACGTGTGTGGCACAGTGCGTTCTAATCGTAAACATATGCCCAGGTTCAACGCAGGCACTCATGGTGATGAGGTGCAGGTGTTTACTGCCAATGACATCATGGCATTACGGTGGCATGACAAACGAGATGTCACATTGTTGACAACCATTCACCATAACGAAATGCAAGACAGTGGCAAAGTTTATAGAATGACTAATGATCATATTTGAAAACCAGTGACAGTGATTGATTATACACAAAACATGCGCTTGGTTGACAAATGTGATATGCAGATTGGCTTTGTTGATTGTGTTCGTAAGAGCTACAAGTGGTATATGAAACTATTCTTCCATCTCATGGACACTTCAATGCTCAATGCATATAATGTGTACCAAGTGAAGACTGGCAACAGACCACCGTATGATGAATTTCGTTTGTCTGTTGTCAGACAACCACTAGGTAACAACACCCGCTATACAAAACCGTCCTCAAACTTCTCAGGATATTCCCAAGCGTTTGAGGAGGGAAGGTGATCACTTTATAATACAGCTTCCTGCAACTAAGAAGAAATTTGCTCAGAAGAGACATGTTGGCTGTGCACAAACAAAACGATGGCAATAAAGACGCAAAGACACTCGGCTTATGTGTGAGGAATGTAAGGTACCTCTGTGCATGGTGCCTTGTTTCAAGGAGTTTCACTAGCTGCAGCAGTTCTAAAAACATGTCCAGTGATTGTACATATGTAAATATATGATAGAGCATTAGTATTATACAAGAGTTGTGCATGTTTATTGTAATAAACAAAAGTGGTAAACAATATTATAATAGCTTTAGTGCAGTTAGTGTGTTCAATACAGTGAGTTTATATATATATACATTATATATAGTATTGGTTTCTCAGGCCCCAAATGTTAGTAGGAAAAGAAAAAAATTAGAAAAGAAAAAAAAAAAAACTATAAAAAACGTAAAATAATGCGCGTACGTATGTGGAAATTGTCGATGTTGCCGCCACCTGGTCATTTTGGGTCAACTTCTCGCCACTATCTCGGTAAGTACTGATCAGAATTTTTTTTTTGTTTTATTACTTTCACAAAAATATACTCTTTAATTCTGTAAGAAAAAAATAATTTTTTTTTTTTTTCAAAATTTCTTGGACAGTGGGGCACCCCTTCCGATTTTGGCTTGGACCCTAAAAGAGTTAAAACTGGATATGCTGAATGCTGAAGACAGTAAAACACCTAAAGTTTAATCATGTTTATATTATTATTATTATTATAATCAAAAAGAAGCGCTAAGCCACAAGGGCTATACAGCACTGAATCATGTTTATAAAATTGCTCACAAGCAGTGTCCAGAATATCTTGCTGCCAAGTTTGTGAACCAAAACCAGTATAGTACTAGAGCCCAGCATGAGCTGCTTCAGGAAGAGAGCTAATAGGTATCTAATGAATGAAGCTACAGAGTGATTTCTTGTATAGTTAACATTCATGTACCTATTATTGTAAGCTGAGTCTCTCTTTAATGTTAATGTAAATAACTCAGGTAAACTTTATTCTAGTGTAGTATTTCCTTCTATTGTAACTGATTCTCACACAGTTGAGTTAATTAGCTGTTTTAACTTTTAAGGTTATAATTATGATTGATTTATACCGTAAGTTACTGCTAGGCTTTAAATAATAAGATATCACAAGGACCCCAATGGAAATGAGTCACTGACTTTTTTGGGTTATCCTAAGTAATTTACACATGTTACTATGTATGATGATTGTCCTTATGTGTACCTGTATCTAAATAAACTTTTATATACACATGTATGAAATAAAGGGGATATAAATAACGTGCTGAAAAGAGCTAGCCAAGACAGGACCATGAGAGAAATAAGAAAGGATTTTTAACCCCGGAGGGTTAACCACCCATGATAACTAAAGATAGACAGTGTCACTGAGAACTGTCTATCTTATTTCCACTGGGGTCCTCATTATTATAATCATGGGGGAGCGCTAAACCTGTAGGATTATACAGCACACGTGGGGGGGGATGGAAGGTATTCAGGCTCAATTCAAGGAACTGGAGCACAGATCCAATTCCCTAGATCAAGAGCCCCTCACCAGTGTCAAGGAACATCCCTTGAGGGGACGGGTTCTCAATCTTGTCCCCCAGGATGCGACCCACACCAGTCAACTAACAACCAGGTACCTACTTGCTAGATGAACGGGTACAAGAGGTGTAAGGAAACATGCAGAAATAGAATCAAATTGGAGAAATTTAAATTTAGAAAGGATATTGGGAAGTATTAGTTTGACAACAGGGATGTGGAAGAGTGGAACAAACTCCCAGGTAGCGTCAATGAGACGAGAATTTTGGGTAGCTTTAAATAAATAAAATTATATATATATATATATATATATATATATATATATATATATATATATATATATATATCGTGTCGATTAAGCCAAACTGGGTAGCTTGGCCTATAAAGCAAGGCCGTCATCTGCCGAATTAGCTGAGGAAATCTGTTTATGGTTGCATGGACAAGATAAGATTTCGTTCGGATTTTTAACCCCGGAGGGTTAGCCACCCAGGATAGCCCAAGAAGGTCAGTGCGTCAACGAGGACTGTCTAACTTATTTCCATTGTGATCTTCAACCTTGTCCCCCAGGATGCGACCCACACCAGTCGACTAACACCCAGGTACCTATTTGCTGCTAGGTGAACAGGACAACAGGTGTAAGGAAACGTGTCGAAATGTTTCCACCCGCCGGGAATCGAACCCGGGCCCTCCGTGTGTGAAGCGGGAGCTTTAGCCACCAGGCCACATTAGTGGGTGAGAGTTTGACCTGCCTAGCATGGGCCAGTAGGGCTGCTGCACTGCTCCTTCGTTTTTTTCTCTTGTGTAATAAATACGTTGTTGTTATTAGGGGTTATTAAGGGTCAACGAAGCTTACTTAATTCCCGGGAGTAAAGGGGAAAAAAGTTTTCCCAAATCCGGGCGGGAATTATTTTGTTTCAGTTTCTCGTTTCCTCCGGAACAAATAACTGAAACAAATAAGTCATTAATTAGGTGAGGTGGATCCCCTATTAATAAAGAGAGTTTTACCGGAGCTTGAAGTTGTGTTGACACACGTGCACCACCACCACAACACCACCACCTGAGTCACAACATTAATTCCGGCTCATACAACCTCAACTTTCTTATATAAAAAAACAACTCAGGGTCTTAAAACAAAATCGGAGATATTTTATCCATATAGTTATAATAAATAATTATGTAACAAATTATCAAGTTTTATTCTTAAAGATAAATATATAATTCAATGTTATGTAATACTCAAGTTGTATTGACGAAACTATGACGTCACATATTAGGGGGAGGATTTTTATATTATATCATATGTTTAGGCACTGATTCCCATTTTCCAAGTGCTGCATGACCCGTAGGGGTCATGCAGCGCCTGGGGTATGGGAATCAATCAGATCTGATCCTAGGGAGGGAGGACAAGTTCAATTCTTTGCATCAAGAGCCCACCACAGGTGTAGGAACTGGTAACAGCAAATGTGGCGCAGTCAGTATTTCATTTTGGGGGAGCTAGTAAGTTTATTCAGGTACAGGTACACATAAATACAGTTACATAAATTATCATACATAGCAGCGTATGTGTAGATTACCTAGGATAACCCAAAAAACTCAAAGTGACTTATTTCCATTGGAGCCAGGATTTATTTCTGGGGGCTTAACGCCAAGGATCCCAATGGCAATAAGTCACTGACTTTTTAGGGGGTTATCCTAGGTAATTTACACTATGATAATTGTACTTATGTGTATCTATGTCTCAGTAAGCTTACTTAGGGTGTCGCGCAGCTCGACTGGTAGCGCACTAAGTAAGTTTATTCAGGTATACACAAATACAGTTACATAGAATTATCATACATAGCAGCATATGTGTAGAGAACCTAGGATAACCCAAAAAAGTCAGACAGAGTGACTTATTTCCACTCGTGGTTCGATCCCCCTGATGTTCTTGTTCACCCTGGGTAACACCTCCAGTCCTCTCCCGGTGGCTGCTCTCATTAATGTGTTATACAAAAATATATTAGATGGGCTTAGGGGGCACGGGGGGCTTCAGACCCCTGAAAAATTCCCGCAGTCCCCCACCCCATATAAAAGTAGTATAATAATAAGGGTGAAGTGAAGCAAGTTTCCCAGCCCCCTCCCCCCCATTAGAGAAATTCTCTCGGAGTGACTGCTTAATAGAGATTGTGATATGTTAGTGTGTATACATTACTTTATTACCTACCAGAGAGAGAGAGAACTGAGGTAGATAACAGCTCTCAGTTTGTAAATAAAATTAGGAACTCTTAAACTAGCCCAATAAAAAAACTTGTGTAAATAAAAAAATTGAGAGAGAGAGAGAGAGAGAGAGAGAGAGAGAGAGAGAGAGAGAGAGAGAGAGAGAGAGAGAGAGAGAGAGAGAGAGAGAGAGAGAGAGAGAGAGAGAGAGGAGAACATAGGAAAGACAACGATTAGAGGACTATGGTGTCCACACCAAAATTATCTCCAAGATGATCTATCTACTTCTATCTAGAGTAAGGAATATCATGTATTATCTAGGTGTTGGGTGGGACGGATATGCTAGATAAACTAAGATTTCGGTGGTTGCGTAGTTCTGGGAGGCATAAAGTTACCTGTAGTCACTTCCGCAGGTCACCTCCTTCGAGGCCAGGTCCCAGACCAGGCTTCTTGGTCCATTAGGCTCTTGGTACCCTCCACCCACAATCCTGCGTATGCACCATAGTCAGGTTGATCAGGAACAGATTTAAGAAATTTATCGAGTTCCTTCTTGAACACGGTCAGGGGTCTACTGATAATCCCCCTAATTTGTCAAGGGGGAAGGTGTTGAGGAGTCATGGCCCCTTTACATTTACTGACTTCTCTCTCAGTATACTCATCGCTCCCATGCTCTTCACTGGAAATATTTTGCAAGGTTTGCTAATCTTCTTGCTTTCATATGTAGTGATTTTGGTGTGCAAGGTTTGGCATCAAGCCATCCAGAATCTTCCAGGTTTAGATTATTATGTATCTTTCTCACCACTGTTTTAAGGAGTACAGTACGAGGGACTTCAAAAGCTTCGAAAGTTTTCTGTATATTTTCCAGCTCAACAATAACACCTGCCTTGAAGGGGCCGTTAGCATATAGCAATATTCCAGCCTAGGAAGACCTAGTGATGTGAAGAACATTACGATTGGCTTGGCATCTCTAGTTTTGAAAATTCTAATTGTCCAACTTATGATTTTCCTTGCGGGTGAGATAATGGCATTACTATGTTCCTTGAACGTGAGATCCTTTGACATTATCACTCCCAGGTCTCTCACATTAGAATTACACTGTTACATTGAGTGATTTGAGTTTGTCTTGTACTTCGATCTTATTTTTTCCATTCTTTCCTAACGTAGTAACTGAAGTTTATTCTCAGTGAACATCATATTGTTGGCAGTAGCCCATTGGAAGACTTGGTGGATATCAGCTTGTAGGCTTTCTGCATCTTTATGGATGCCACATTAAAGATTGGTTACAGTTATGATTAGATTTAGATTTTGTCATCAAAACAGCTAATTTATTGTGCATCCTGTATCTATCCTTTGGACGAAAGGCAAGAGCATGTGGTGTGGCATGCAAAGAGTATGTTACAATGTATTCGGCATATGTCACGCTCCCATACAGGCTGCCTCCCAACCAGCGAACCAGGTGCTTAGGGTTTAACGATCGATAGAGTACCCGTCATTATTAAATCAGTACCTTAGTTCATTAACCAATCACAGACAAGCCTGCCAATGCTGAAGCAACGTAGTTCACTTGCGGGAAGCTTATGGCAGACTTGCCTACCTGCTGGTTGAGTACGGTGCACTCTTTCTGGCTTCTGCTGTATCATCTGTCACTGTGGTGTACACTTATTATCATTCTATCTGTACATATTGTACATAACATACAATATGTAGTGGGTGAAGGAAAAATATACATTATAGTCTACTGCTGAGTTTGTATGCTCCAATTCCCATTACGACCAGGTCTCACAGATTATTCATTACATGTGTTCGTAATATATGGTTACACAGGAGACCTAAGAACTAGACTTCAAAAGAGGTAACAGACACAAAAGAGACCTAAGAACTAGGTCCCCCCAAAATTTAGCAGGAGTACATTTTATTTATATCTGCATTTGGTTTACCTATTGCATGGCTTAGCGCTTCTTTTTTATTATAATAATAATAATTACCTATTGCAAGTAAGTTTAATATATTTGCTTAATATGTCTGGTATCTTTCTTATTTTCATTAATGAGGTATCTTGATATATTACATAGTTTATTATACTGTATCTCTATATTCCTTAAGTGAAGAATTAAACACATAGTGTTCAAGATAGTGACCAAAAGGCTGACCACGTACTTTACATTTGGTTTGATCATCATGAGTTAGTCTGTCATACTGCCAGAAGTACTTGTAACCAAGCCTAAGCCTGGCTACTATCAACATCAGTCAGTCTGTTCACATTGCAAGTTGCTCCATAAACGTACTTGTCTTCGTTTCAAGTTATCATAATGAGTTATAGACTGGCTCAGGCATCTAGTTGCATTCCTATAACATTCAGCTTCGTTATTTACTTCTCTCCTAATATTATTCCTAATGCTAGACACAGATACACCGAAGTTATATTCTACATTTTCCATGATGATGATGAAATAATTCATTATAAGATGGAATTCATTAATTCCATTTTCTGTGATTTTTAAGTATCTATGCCTGACTTCTCCAATGAACATGTCGTGAGAGTCATTATGTGAATCAAGAGCCTTCAGTTATGACATAGAATCAGAATCAGTAATAATCATAGAGTCAAGTTTAGTGTATTTAAATTAATTTTAGCTCCATTAGGCTGACAAATAATTCAGCTTGCAGTGTAGACGCCCAGTTGTTAATTCTTATGCCTAACTCAACAATGTTGTTATCGTTTTTAACTATGGAGGTGGCAACAAGAGCAGATGCAGCCCTGCCAAAGACTCCTGCTGAGATCCCTCAGTGTTTATAACTTGAGATACATTATTAATAAAAGCTGAGAGATAAATTTCTTCTCGAGCAGTTGCCTTTACAAGTGATTTAAGGAAGGGATTACTAGTGATGAGCACCCTGGGAGGGGCTTGCAGATATGTCACATTATATGAACACATCTTCCATGGAAGAGTGAAATGCTCTTGTTGTCTACAGTGATACAGTTCGTGCAAGTTTTAAAACTTCATTGCATGTTTCACAACCCATTTAGATCTGTGTGTATTTACTTCTAGACATTTAGTAAAATTTGTAGAGTGTGTCTGGTTCATTTCTTAACATTCTAATACCAAGTACAGTGTTAATCACAATAATCCTATCACTGATACCAGGAACACCAAGCTCCTTCCTAATATTAAGAACCTTGGTAGTTTTAAGACAGCCAACAATAATTCTGAGAGCTTCGTTCTGCATTAGCTCCAAGGGCATGAGAAAAATTTCCTTAGCTTATATTAAATTGAGCACATCATAATCTTAAGGATCTAATATAGGTTACGTTATCACCATAGCTGGGGGTTGTATCCAGCAACACCGCTGAGAACATTTAGCATAACATTGTATTTCTCATTTACTTGTGGTATGGGAATACATCCTCTTGCATATTCAGGGAAAACTTTTTATTATGTGAAGCAGCTCACATTGTTGATGGAGGGACGGATGTGGTTGATGGAGGGAAGGGTGTGGTTGATGGAGGGAAGGGTGTGGTTGATGGAGGGAAGGGTGTGGTTGGAGGGAAGGGTGTGGCTGATGGAGGTGAAGGGTGTGGCTGATCTAGGAAAAGATGTGGTTGATGGAGGGAAGGATGTGGCTGATGGAGGGAAGAATGTGGTTGATGGAGGGAAGGGTGTGATTGATGGAGGGGAAGGGTGTGGCTGATGGAGGGAAGGGTGTGAGCGGAGGGAAGGGTGTGGTTGGCAGTGGAACAGCCTTACACCAGCAAACAAGACTGGAAAACACACTTGATCTTATGTTCACAAATAATGATAACCTGGTACGAAATATAACAGTATCGAAGACAGTTAATTCATATCAAAACTGGGATTAAATAACTCTTGTCCTTAACAAAAATATTTAAAAAAAA